TATGTAGTGGCCTACTGTTAAGAAGCTGCACTGCAATCCTGAAGGCATGTGACTTGAATCTGCCAGCTGCTCCACAGGAGAAAGATAGGCAATCTACTCGCATGTAATTAACTGCCTCAGAAAACCTACTGGAGGGTCAGCTAGGGATTAGTCCTAACTCAATGTCATAAAATAGCTGTCTATCTATCTGTCTACCTATCTATCTATCTATCTATCTATCTATCTATCTATCTATCTATCATCTATCTATCTCTATCTCTAGTTGGATATTTATACATTCCATTTCATTTTTGAAAGCTTCCAATTCTCCTAAATTCACAGGTAGACTTTACTTTGAGTAAGCAGCTCTTTCTCATTCATATTTTGAGTATGTTTTACCTGAGAAGCCCATCTTCCAGCACCATATCAAACAATGTTCTACTGCTGTTTATAGGGTTTTCAAGGACCCATTACTCAGAAGTGAGAGTGAATGGCCAGTCTTTTTCCCTAGTCTATCCTAGTCTAGAAACTTCACTGAAATCTGTCCACCATTACTAACCTTGCTAGTATTTGAAATTCTGGTAACATAGCTTCCTACATCAGAGCAATATGCAACTGATACAATAAGACCAGCTGAAAGATCATTTTGAAAATCACTAACTTTGGAGGGACTGAAGAGCATTATGCTAAGTGAAATAACTCAGTCACATAAGGAAAAATATTGCATAAGACCATTATTGTAGAAATAGAAAGCTATCTAGTAAAATGTGTGTGAAGATTCAAGGAGGGAGGGAGGACACAAAGGGTGAGGATGGGTGTGGGGAGATAGGTAATTATAGGGTCACACTATATGATGGCTGGAGGGTGGGGTAGATAAAGGAAATGGTAAAAATCCAGTGTGGAAAAATAGTGTATATGAATTTTGTAAGCAAACCAGTTGTTGTTGTTGTTATGTGCCGTCGAGTCGCCTGCGACTCATAGTGACCCTATGTACAACAGCCCTAAACTCCGCTCTGTCCTGTGCCAATCGCACTATCTCTGACACTCCCATCCCAATTATCTCAGTCACTGAATCAATCCTCCTCACAGAGGGCCTTCCTCTCCTGCGCTGTCCCTCCACCCTCCCAAGCATGATGTCCCTCTCCAGTACAAAATAAAAATGTTCTTTTTAAAAAATGAGTATTCAATAAAATATAGAAATTATTGAATAATATCATTGATACTTCACATAACAAAATTCTTACTGAAGAGAATTTTTAAATGGCAGAAGCAGCCAGAAATTTCTGGGAGTAAGTAAGTCAGATTGGGTTCAAAAGAAGCCCTGAAATGGGGAGTCACTGCTGATGTCAGGTAGATGTTGCTGGCAAGTTAAAAATACCATACAATTGTTTATTTGTGTTTAACTGACTAAGCAAAGGTATTTACTGCATGGATTCTAATAAATTGTGAACCACACTGTGAGAATGGGAATTATATATGGGTATTACGCTCATGTACAATGTGTAGACAGACCAAGAAGCTTGTCATTTGAACAGAACAAAATGATACTGCATGGCTTGAAGTTTAAAAAAAAAGGTGCACATTAGGTTTGCATCTTTTTATCATACTTAGTCTGTATGCTGAGAAAATAATTTGTGAAACTTGACTATATGAAGAAGGATGTGGAATCAAGATGAGAGGAAAACTCCCATCATCAGCCTGGGGAATGCAGGTGGTAAGACCCTTGCTCGGTCAAAATAAAGAGGACTGGAAGCTCTTGCTGAATGTTATAGCCTTTAGTATTGATTACACATCAAAAGCAAGAAAATAAAAATTCTCCTGACTACACCAATAGGGATTATCTTGATAAATGAATTTTTTTAAAAGTTCTTCTTTTTTCTACTTGTTTATTTACAAAATTCAAATACAAATTTGAACAAATTATTTTCATTTCCCTCAAACCCCCACCTATTAAATTGTACAACCCAATGATTAATCCCCCTTCCCCCTGCACATCCACATCCCTCTGCTTCCAGCCTCTCCCACCCCTCCTGGATCCTTATGCTTGTTCTACAATAACGGTTTTATACAATAAAAAATGAGTTCTTAATCATTTCATTTTACTTAAATTCACAATCAGCAATTGTTTAAGCAGCAGTCAAGAAATCAGATGACAGATGATTACATGGTACAGTGGGAACAACTGCTGTCAAGGACCTCTTTAAAGTGCAAATGAGCAAAGATGTCACTTTAAAGAATAAGATGTACATAGCCCAAGGCATAGTATTTTCAACTGGTTCATATGCATTTAATATTCATTTTCATATGAATTCCTATGAAATGTGAATTCATGTGAAATGTCCATATTCATGTGAAACTTGCACAGTGAAGAAGGATGGTCAGAGAATGGACGTCTTTAAGTTGTGGTGTTGGCGAAGAATACGTAATATGTCACGTATTGCCAAAAGAACAAATATCTGCCTTGTCAGAGTGATCTTCAGAAGCAAGGATGAGGAGGCTTCATCTCATATATTTTGAGCCTGTTATGAGGAGTAAGTAGCCAGTCCTTGGAAACAGATACTATGCTAGGAAGAGTAGAATGTCAATGAGAGAAAGGAAGATTCTCCACAAAATAGATTGACAAATGATTGAAACAATAAATTCAAGCACAACAGAGATTGCATGGATACTGCAGGATTAGACAGGTTAGATAGACTTTTTTTAAAAAGAATGACAAAACTAAAAATAAAATTATATTTACAATATGTTGTTGTTGTTGTTGTTGTTGTTGTTATGTGCTACTTGCGACTCATAGCAACCCTGTGTACAACAGCCCTAAACTCTGCTCTGTCCTGTGCCAATCTCACTGTCTCTGACAAACCCATCCCAATTACCCCAGTCACCAAGTCA